GTTAAAACAAGAATAACTATACCAACAATTATTATTGTTATAATACCCACAATAAAATCACTCAAACCGGGCGCCGATTGGCATTCATCGGGGTTGTATCGGCGACTGCCAAACGCACCCATCACTACGACAGGCCGGACACCACCTCCCGGTCGGGCACCGAACCTAACACTACTGGCCCAACCCTTACCCACACCCCCTCCTCCCTTAACACCACCCACCCTTAGGGCCGGCATTTTTATCGATGGTATTCGTATGGCCACTGAAAATGCATATAAAATGTTTGCGGTAAATCTTTTTCAATAACTATCATTTAATGGTCTAATAATACCTGACATATAGTGTTGTTTGGCCACACATTGACCACTGGACTCGTGCCACTCCTGGCCGTCGGCGCACTCGTAGCTGCCGTTATGTCGACACCAACTGACAGACCAGTCATACGTGTAGTTATGGCCGCAACGGCACCGATAGGTTGTGTTATTGCAAACACTGTTGCCGTGAAAACAGTGGTCACTGTTCTGACACTTCTCACCAAAAGCCACGCGTTTAACACACGACTCAACACAAGTGGTGTTGTCATAGTAATAGTCCTGAAGGCACTGACATGTGCCCGACTGGAACCGGTCATCGATGGTATAGCACCGGGAGTTTGTGTCCCATTCCGAGCACTGTTTAGATGTGAGACACGGACCACCGGCCGATGTAAACGGTAGGCATTGGCCCAACCACTCGATGGGATAACTTTCATTACACCGGCACCGACTCTCATGGCATACCTGTGCCGCGTCTGCCGGACACCCAGTGCTGTAGTTTTGATAATTACATTTCTCATTGAGAGTATGTTTTACTATTTTAACTGAAAATTCATGAATTGAATTAAAATTATCAATTGTTTTATTAATTAGTTTACAATCGTTTGTATGAATTATATTTACTATTAATATAACTATTATTATCATTGAATACATGTCTTGACATTACATCATATTCAGTAATAACTATATAACTTATAGGGAATCTCACTATACGTTACATTGAATGAGTCTCTCAAACATACAGTAATGTTATTCAAATCATTTAGATATTTATTTAATATTATGTAGTGTTGACAATATTTTGTTATGGTATATATCGAGCATGGCTATTTTTAGTAACACTGTGTAGTAAAACGTAAACAGGAATTGCATGATAAGAAAGTAATAGAGAATCTGTTGTACAGAATCCATAAGGAATATTGATCAGTATTGTAGTTTTGACACATGGTAAGATTTATTATTGGCTACTTGCGTCACGTATTGTAATTCACATTATTATGTTTTAAATTTACCTTAATTTACAAACATTCATACGTAATGTATTTAATACAATAAGTTTACATAATACAAAAAAGCATCATCATTGCAATTAACACAATAATCAATATAGCAAAATAAAGGGCAGGCACTGGTCTAATAACTTAATGGGATAACTAGTAGTGTACAGACATATCATCTCAAAACACTACTGGCTTTCATTGCTCGGACAGCCGGTGCAGTACTTTTCAATATTGCAAGTTTTGTTAATAGTGTTTTGGGTTAAATTAACAAAATATTCTTGATTATAATTTTTGCTATTATTTGGATTGCATGCAATTTTATTAAATACTATAACAATTAAATATAACAAACAATTATAATAATTGTT